AAAAAATACTAAAGGGGGGGGGGTTGAACCCCCCCCCCCCCCGTGTGTACGCCACTAATTAATGCTGTTAAACTTATACAGAGACGTGGAAGTGATTTGCGAATAGGCCACTGATATAATGGCCACCAATGTACCGATACGTATAGATATTGTTCTATGATATTTGTAATAATTAATTTATATATATATGTATGTATACTGTAAAAAAGAGAAATAGTATAATACAGTGTGAATAGTATTTCATTAATGAATATTTTTAATTTTTCACCTGGTTTTTTATCTTTTGTTTTTGAAACTTTCGTACCGCTGTTGTTCTGTACTTGTGTTTGTGTATCATGTACGAAATGTGTACCTACTGAGAGTCTGAGACCCAGAATAATATGTGGTCCACTGGAAATCGTTGATAATTTTTATTGGACAATACAATATTTTATCATGGTCATAGCCACTTATTTTAAAATGCCGAATCGAAATTATGTTCATAAGCCCATTACAGATAAGATATACGCATAGCCATTAGCCGTGGTATTATAGGTGTTGGTATATTATATTAAATTATAGATTATCAAAGGTAGCGTACACACTACAGTACTGCACCGTACACGACAATAGGTAACATTTGAAGTTATTTTTTTTTGTTTTATAATATTTTTAATATTTCATCTATTTAAAGTACAACTTATAAAAACGCTTCCTAATAATATTGTATTTACATTATTGTCAAAATATTATAAGAAACATGACATTTTCAATTTTCAATCCTTAGCTATAAAAATTTTACATTTTAAGTAGGTATGTATATTGTATATTACTACACTATAAGTATATATTTGTAATTAAATATTAATAATGTTGGTAACTACACTCAGTCCCGGATTAATACTATAATCTTAGGCCTTAGGCACAGTGCTTTATTACCCATGTGATATTACGGTCTTGTAGAGTTCAGTATTTAAATGATTAAGAAACCTAATGTTTGGGAGAGGTAGTGTTGAACCTCAGTGTTTTAAGCCTTTTAAACGAAAATATTTACAACATGAAAATCAAATATTAACTTTTATGATTATAACTTTATCTGATAACAATTTTAACACATCTAAAAATTTATTTTATTTTACTCAAAACATCATTTAAAATTAAATTACCAGAAACCATAAAAAGCAACTTATTTTAGACCATTTTGCACTTTCTTCCTCGCCGACCGATCATGTATTCATGTTCTGCATGGCCGCATATAATTCGTATTATTCTTATTATCATACAATATATTGAATATTGATGAATGATGTGTGTGTGTGTGTGTGTGTGTGTGTGTGCGTGTATGTGTGTGTCCGCGGTCGACAATTATTATTTATATTACGTAAACGTCGTAAACGATATTATTTTTATATTATTTATTTATTTATTTCCTAAAAACTCTAAACAGTAATCGTGGTTTCATCATGGTATCATACACAGTCGTTTGCCCGTATACCGTATGCATTTTATCGGTTTATGGTTTATCCAATCTGATTTCGATAAGTAATTATTACGAATTACGATAACGAAAATTGAGTGTAAATATATGAGAAATTTTATGCAAAATATTTTGTTTGTTGTGCTAACATCTACAGATAGTTAATTAACTTGAAATAAAAATAAAAATATTACAGAAAAATCGTAGCCATACATTTCATTTTCTTAGGCCCTAAGCCTCTTTAGTGCCTATGCCCTAAGCCTCTTTAGTGCCTATGCCCTAATACGGTCCTGACTACACTTATAAATTATAATTCATAGTGTTTAAAAAAATATTTGTTCAATAATTTGCATGTGTTTGTGAGTAAAAATGTAGTCTGGGAATTTTATTCTGATTAGTAGGCAATCCACCTGTGGTTATGAATGATATGTTTTATTTTTTATTTTGATTATGGACACGCCGATGAGCGGCTATAATAGCAACTCAGCCACATTGATATGCAATTTTGCATACATTTGATTTCATGCATCCTCATATACCCGATCTGATCGATAAGCCAATGGCAACCGAAAAACATACCTACTAATTTATACTAAAAAATTAAGAACAGATTGTCGAATTTTACTTTTTGGAACTGTTCTATATTTCCATCTATATGCCGATCAATTACATAATTTGACATACAAAAGGTCAGGTTGCAGGTAGCTGGAAAACCGCGGGCCGCCGTGCCGTACAATATGTACAATTTACACTTTTTTTTAATTAATAACTAATTTTCCGTGCAGCATTCTTAATTTTTCTTCCACAAGAAGCTTCACTGGACGATAACAGATCTAAGAAAAAAAGAATTGGTGAAATACTCGTAGGTCCAGCCGTTCACGCGTGATGCCGTGACCAAGAAACATAGGGATTCATTATTATATATACAACTACTTTTTGTGACTTAAAAATAAATGTCAGACATATGCTGTCGCTGACTTTTTGTAGTGTAACGATTTACACATTATTGACGCGTCATTTATGTCACGCTCGGTGAAGTTGCTCAGATAAACAGAACATAGGAATGTAGAGTACGATAGTATAAATCATTGGCATAGCCAACCAGTCGAGTTCGAATCGTAAAGTAGAAACAACGGTCATCTCTACGTTTTTAAGTAATATATTATTAACTTAATTCACTATTATAAACCTATACCTCGTAGATAAATCATAACAGTGCAATTGTTTCAACTCGTACTCCGCTACTCCTGTGATCTTCAATACACTACCCTTAAGAACAGGGTTACTCTGGGTGATGGTAAAAATAGAATACTATAGAATATACTCGGGTGATAGTAGACTGTTACTGCTATTACTATTTACACATTTGATAAACCTTGTATATGTTGCTATATCGTGCAATTGTGTTAGTCTATGTCTATGAACGCAGGTCATACGTTTCTAGGACATGTAAAATATAACTTGGAAAACTTTATTTGTATCGATTCGACTTCAACAACCCGGATCACAAGATCGGTTCGTGTAGTGGGAATAGCTAACCAACTACCCCTTAACGGGATAGAATTAGGTATAATTAATATCGACGGCCACTTGAGTTTAAATAAACTAGGGAGGCGTGTTGCAGTAGGCATCATCAAACTCTACAACATTTCTCTGGAACTATATCATATATATATATATATATATATTATATAATACATTTTAATTCATACAAATGATAGTAAATAAATGTAACATGTCAATGTTGCATAAAAAATCATCGTATACTTTCATACTATAGGTAGGTGAAGTCGACCTATGCACCTATGCATATGTTTTCCATATAGATATATATCGTATAGGTACCGTAGGAGCGGGATACTTTGCTCCAGAGGTTAAACATTGCTCCAAAAAAAAATTTATATTGATATCAATCGTCGCACATTACGATTTTGTGATAAAAGATTGTAGTTTTTTTTATTTTTGTTGTTATTTTCATTACAAATGTTTTGAAACGTTTCAAACATCAACCTGTCAGTCTGCCTCCAAGGCGTATGTCGTGATAAAAGTTTTTAGATGCGTTTTCAGAGGAGCTTCGTGGTAATAGGCTATGGTACTATATAGGTAATCGGTAAAAAACGACACGGAAAAAAACGACACGGAAAAATACGTCAGGCAAAAAACGTCACGGTAAAAACCGACACGGGTAAAAAACGTCACGGAAAAAAACGACAAAGTTATAAGTTATAATAAGTAATATACCTAGTATATAGTATTATTATTATAGTATTATTATCACATTAGGTAACAACAATTACAGGCCGAGTGTCTTATCGAACCCAGACCAAATAACTGTCGTAGATAGGATATATATATACAAAAATATACGTAAAATCCTATTGAGTATCGGGTATAATATAGGTTTAAAATTTATGACTTTGGATAACGGTTGTAGGATTATCGATATAAACAGAAACATCCATGCATTTTGTGTCAGTTACATTTTGACGTGATATAGGTATAACCGTAAAACATGGAAGTTATTAAGTCTAACAAAGGTGGGAACAAAATTTGTTGGAGAGGTTATACATACATAATGAAACATCAAGGACGCAAAAGATTAACGTGGAGATGTACAAAAGAAAGTTCATTGAAATGTCGCGGAACAATGTACACGGACTTAAATATTGGACATCCTCAAATTGGAAAAGTTCATAGTCATATAGCTGATAAACACGAGGTAAATAACTTTTTTCAACTCTACTCAATTATAGACTACCTATATAGTATAAAATATGAATAGTAATACATTTTTTGAATAAAAATCTTAGTCTATAATATAAAAATCGAGGAACTCGCTTTACTGTATAGTAATTAGTAGGTGTCGGGTGCGTCTAATGTTCGTGCGGAAATTATTCGAATACGAAAATTTTTTGTGCACATATATTGTTTTTAACATTAACATTTTTCCTTACATTGTAAATTCATAATAGATTTACATACCTTAACATGACGACATGTATATTATCCAAATACCTAAATATTCAGTCGAAAATTAGAAATGGGATTTTTGTACCCATATAATATTCGATAACGATAAGTTATCGATATGATTTTAAAACGTGTTTGCAATAAGCAACATTTCACTCTGTTTTGTTGTGTGAGTGTGTGTGTTAAAGATACCTAACGTGATATGACGTTATAGATCACAAAATATTATTATTTTTTTACGAAAAATGTATGCTCGAATAGAACAATTATCGAATTCGAATAATTTTCCTGCGAATAATTTATTGTCACGCGAACTATTTTCGCCGAAAAATTTACGTGATACCGTTCGGAAATATAATATTATAAATATTTGGTAATAAAATTTCAATTGGATTTTTGGGTAGGTAAATGCTATAAAATGTACATATAAAATGAAAGAAGCGGCCAAAAGAACTAAAACGAATCCAGCGGAAATATATGCCGAAAATGTGAAGAATTTAGACCCACAATCACAAGCTAGAATTCCACCTGAACCTATAATGAAAAGAACAATACGTAATCAGAGAAAAACGGAACATCCAGCTAGTGGAACTAGTATAGAGGGAGAGTGGTGTACAACTGGAAATCCGGATAATAAAAGATTACTTTTGGTTGACGATGGTGACGAAAATAGGTTAGTTATTTTTGCAACCGACGAAGGACTTCAAAATTTATCCAAGTCTAATGAATGGTATATGGACGGTAATTTTGCTTTGTCACCTAAAGGTTTTATGCAGCTTTATGTAATAAGAGTACAAATTAATGGTATTTTTGTTACTGCCGTTTATTGCTTGCTCACTAAAAAAACACAGTCTACTTACGAGCGAATGTTAAACTGTTTAATGGAAAAATGTGCAGAGAATTATATTTTTCTTGACCCTATGTACATACATGTTGATTTTGAAAAAGCAGTCATAAATGCAATAAAAATGGTTATAGGTGAACACGTAGAGGTGAATGGTTGTTTTTATCATCTCACACAAGCAACACATCGTCACATTCAAAAAATGGGATTAACAAATGAATATAAATCGGATGAAGAATTTTCTGCATTTTGCCGACAATTGGACGCGTTAGCATTTTTACCATTATGTGATGTAGCTGAAGGAATGGTATACTTGAAAAGTATAATGCCAGAAAAAGGTTCAGCTATATTAGAATATTTTGACAACACTTATGTGACCGGTACATTTAGGAGAATTAATTCGACACAAGATAATTGCATACGCTTGCGGAATTGCCCACCCTTATTTCCACCTCACGTATGGAATGTCCATAATATCACATTGAACGATGGTGATCGGACTAATAATGAAACTGAGGGATGGAATCATAGATTTTCAAAGATAGTGGGACATTGCCATCCCTCTATATGGGTATTGATAACGAAAATACGACTGGAGGTAGCGAATGACGAAACAAAATTAGCTCAAAATGCATTGGGAACATTACCAAGAAAAAAAAAATCAAAGATTTATGCAGAATTACAAAACAAATTAAAAAATATATGCAATGAATATTCAAGGGGGGAAAGAGATATTCCAAATTTTTTAAAGGCAATAGCATATACTATACGATATTTGTGATTTTTAAAATTATTGATAATTTTTTATTTTTATATAAAAGCTATTATACCATATTATATACTATTCGATATTTGTGGTTTTTAAAAACTATTATTATTTATTTATAAATAAACTTAAAAACCATGATTGTGATTTTTAGATAAAAATATATTTTTGACGTTTTTTTCTGTGACGTTTTTTACCTGTGTCGGTTTTTACCATGACGTTTTTTACCTGACGTTTTTTTCCGTGTCGTTTTTTTCTGTGTCGTTTTTTTCCGCGATTCTACTATATATTATACACCTACTTCGGTGGTATAGTAATAGACGATAGCTAATTATAGACGATACAAGTCATCTAATAGTTAAAATTAATGTAATTCTTGTTTTTATTGATCTAGTTGAATAGGTACCTTCGACCTAGGGACTTTATACTTTGGAAGTAGGTAAAATATCAATGATCGGAGAGGCGTGATGCCGTGACTACGTTTTTCGATTTGGTGTTGACTTGACCAGCATCTCTCCTCCCCCCCCCCCCCCCCAAAGTATTATAATATTAATCATACGATTAAAGCCTTTGATAATAGTAACTATCGTAGCAATCATGGTTCATAATGGTGATATTACGTCTTTTTGGCTTTTGCAGCACGACAATCCCCAATAAATCGATATTATTTTATCATAAATTGTATATCAATCGCAGTAAAGTCGTAGTAGTGTGGTTGTCGTTATCAGTATATCATGTGGTAGCCGCATAGACCTTGTACTTTTAGACAAGCAACGAGTCAAGGTGGATTGGCGGATGAGAGACCGATTGCTTTTATGTAGTGCTCCACAGACATTATCTAAATTATAATATAGAAATTAGGGGTGTAGTGCTCTCCAATTAAAATATTAAATTCAATATTATTTTTAATATATATTATTAAATGTTATATTTTAATTCGCGGGGCTATCACTCTGGCAAACCGTGGTTTTATGATTAATATCATTTCACAATGATAAAAGATATGATAACAAATATTTTCAGCCAAATGTATAATTTATTTTATTAAATATTTCTTCTATTATAATATATTCTTGAAAATTACATTTACATTTTTGCATTACTGTTTGCTTTGTCGCGTACTGTGTAGCACTGTAGTGTGTGCCAACCACCAAGGTATTTAATACAATAGCAGTTATTATTCTAATTCGTATTAGATATCACGGATAAGAATATAAAATTGAACTTTTTTAGTCACTTTATTATACTCGATTGTCAGCACTCAATACTCATAGACAAATTTTTATTTTGTAAGTAATAATATTACATATCGATTCTTTTATGAGCTCGGGATTTGATGGAATAATCATTGTAACTAGGTAGTCTAGGACTCTAGGTACAATATTGTTTAACGTACGTAATACACGTCTTCAATAATAGCAGTGACTGTACTACCTACCTTTATTCTTAGCTCAAAACACACATTTGTTTTTATGTTTGGAATATTTTATGTTTCTTAGAATAACCAAATAATATTAATATTTCAAATTTCAAATTTTAGCAAAACTCGAAAACACCAATTTTCCTGGAAATGAAACCTAGATTATTTATTTATTATTATTTATTTTTCAATAAATGTTTATTAAAAAAATGTTGTGGATATTACTTATAAGTTGATATGAAAGCTAACTAAAAATATTATATATATATATATATCGGCACAATTTTTTTTTTATAGCATTTTAAGTTCAAATAATCACATTATGTGATGGTCAAACTCTTTATGCAAATTGATTCGAATGATGACTGCTTAAAACTGCAAAGTGATATTAATCAATTCCTTGAGTTGTTCGACAAACTTAATCTATCTCTAAACATATCCAAATGTAAGGTCATGACTTTCACCAGATCTCGTACTTCTTTAGTTTTCCCTTACCACCTGCGTGACACTGTAATTTCACGTTGTAATGATTTTATAATGGATCTTGGGTTTAAATTTACTAGCCATTTGGACCCGAGCCTTCACATTGAAATAATTTGCTGTTCTGCTCTAAAAACATTGGGCTTTGTTATGAGGTTGGCTAAAGACTTTGGCCTTAAATCTTCTCTTAAGGCTCTCTATTGTTCTATTGTACGGCCTATACTTGAGTATGGTGCTGTAATTTGGGACCCACATACTGCTGTTAATGCTTGTCAGTTAGAAAGGGTTCAGCGTAGGTTTTTCCGGTTTGCCAGCTATTTACTGGGCATTGATTGTCCGCCTCATGACTATACACCTGTTGCCACTAATCTTGGTTTAGTTACTTTAGCTGAGCGCCTATGTTACTTTGGTAATAAATTTTTAAAAGATTTACTGACTGGTGTTATTGATTCTCCTTCTTTACTTGCCCTAGTTGCATTTAAAGTTCCTCCTGTTCTACTGCTATGTTTCATATACACTTTAGTTCCACCAATTACATGCAAAATGAACCTTTAAGACGTTTGATGTCGTAAGCCAATATGGACCCCACCTTTAACTTTCTTGGTTTTTAATTGTACACACACTTATAATGTATTTCTATTGTTTTTATTTTCTATCATCATATAATAATTGTAATATCTTTTCTGTACATATATATTTAATCGTAAAGGGCTTAGCCCGTAAATTCTTAATAGATAAATAAATAAAGAAATTATTCGTCAAAATCACAGAAATGTTCTAGTTGAAATAGAAAATGTTCAATTTTTATGGGTAAGCCCTGACAATGTAATATAAGGTTTCACATAAGTCATTTATTCTGAAACCCAAAGGAAAATAAAATACAAAGGAATCTTTACATCATATCATTGTATCAATGACATAGTCAATTTTTAAAGCCTATTATAATTTCAATAGGTTAATATTATGTCTTAACTTCTTAAGTAAAATCAAATAAAAGTTTTTGGAAATAGATTGTATTCCTCACAACATATGCTAGGCCAAAGCACATTTTAACTTAAATTAATCTACTAGAATTACATTGTCTGTAAAATATAAAATAAATAAATAACTACCTATGTTACTATAATTCTTAAAAAGGTATTCAATTCACCTTTACATATGTGCAAAGAACTATAATCCATTTAAAAAATATTTTTTTGGCCAACCATATTGTGTGGCTAGGTAAGGTCTAATAATTTTAATCCATCCCCATTGTTTTTATTATTTATTTCAGTTTACTTGAAATTTGTATCTTAATTTTTGGTAAGTTATGTTCGCCCCAATCATAACTTATTATCCTATGTGTTTTAGATTGCAAATTTTTAATACCTAATACAAATATTTAGTTATTACTGTTTTTAGTGTGAAACATTATATTTAAAACCACATAAAATTAATTGCAAAAACTATTTTGTCGTTAATTCAATTTTGTAAATAAAAAATTTGTTATATTCAAAACCATTTATTACTTTATTTTAAATGTAACTTAACTTAAACCATGAACACATCCTATACTAGTTTTTATTTCTACTACATTTTTAATATAACTTGAAAGAAATTAAAGTTTTGTAATGTTAATATAGTTATTTAATATTAAGATTTATAGCTTTCATATTATTTTTTAATTTGTTTAGGTAATTAAGTTGTGGTTGATGAAAATACCTATTTGATTGATTTTCAATATGGATAAAAATCATGAAGAAAACCTTAAAGTGGGTATACATTTTGTCAATATTTATTTATTAAAATTTTTATCATGTTTACTTAATTTATTTATTATTTAAGAAAATAAGTTTTTAAGTTTCCTATTTGATATCACATCAAGTGAGTCACCGTCCAACCGCAAATCCAAAAAAGCGAATGTTCAAAACAGCTGAAGTATATTATTTTAAAATAAATTAATATAAAAAATAAAAATATACTTGGTATTTAAAAAGTATATTATTTAAAAATTAGTAATATTGTACCTCAAACATAGCCATATATCAAATTAAATATAAAAAAATTAAAAAAAAAAAAGATAAAAGATGTTATATTATATTTATAATTTATACTTGTAGTGATAAATTATAGGCTATGCTTTCCAAATAATTTACAATATTTCTTTCTGCATATTGTTTTTTAATTTCTAAAATTCTTGATGCAGTATCTTGATATTTTTTCTTTTTTTTATCGGGTTTTGTCCACTTACGTCTTGCTCTACTTTCATTTCTGTGTTAGTCTGTTCTTGTTTGAACCCTTCTATGAGTTTTATAAGTGTTGAGTAACACGATCCAAGTAAATGATTATAACCAAAAATCTATTAAACATACTTAACATATTTTAGATATATTTATTTATAAAAATTAATTACCTTGGACAGAATTATTAGTCTTTGGCAAATGTATTTAGTCATAACAATTCTTCCGATACAAAAACCCATCGTATTTTAAGAGTTGCTTATTTTTTTGTGAAATTAAATATTTGATATTTTTAAACGGCATATGTGAAACTATATAGTATACGAAGTATGCAACTGTGATACTGAACGGTTAAATGTACACTGCCGCTATCGAATATTGTGCTCATATCTAATCCACCTATTTTATTATTATATCTGGTTTGACCAGACAATAATATTGGAGCTATAAAACTGATTGTTATTATCTGTATCTTTATAACGTAATACTATTACTACAGATAAATAATAAGAGTAATAATTTTAAAATAATATACTTAAGCTGTTTTGAACATTTGCTATCGTGGCTCTTAGCTATTTTGCAGTCGTTTTTATGGATTTGCGGTTATGATGAGTTACCCATCAAGTCATACCTATCTGTTATTGTCCTATACTATTTTTATTTAATATTTTATTTTCCAAATAGCTGACTATCATTTACTTTCATTAAAACTAAAAAAGACTAAATCAATTTAATATTATCTATACTTTACAAATGTTCAAATATATTACTTACTATACAATTTTTTCAATTGCAACATTTTTAAATTTATTTGACTAAGAAAAATGCAATATTAGAAGCTCGCCCTATAAGAACTACAGCTGTCCAATTATTAGATAACTTCAAGGAGAGACATTTTAAGTGCCCGAAACTATACAACTTAGCTTAAGATTTTAGCTTAAGGCAGGAGTCACTTCATTGAAAGTGACTCCACCAACGTGTACAAATATATATAGTTGATATCTAGCATATAAAATATATATAATTGTTGAACATATCTATAAGGACCTAACCTTTGGGTTGTTTAAATAATAAAGACCAAGGGTATTTAAAAAAAAAAATGTAACTAAGACAAATCTATTCTAAATATCCACACATTTTTATTTAGCGATTTTTATTATTATTTACCAATTAATTTTATTTTTTAGAAAGGACGCTTACTAATTGAACGTTTAGAAGAAATACAATATTCTCATTTCAACGGCCGTCCATTATGGACAACTATACAAAAGAATGATCTGAAATTATTTTTAGCATGCATATATTATAAAAACCCGTCTCCTAGTAATGCAATTGAAAACAATAATTATGAAGATGACAACAATAGTGAAAAAATATTCAAGTTATATGAAGAAAAAATTCAAACACAGATTTCAAACGTTTATAAAACAATAGAGGAAAAATACATTGAACCTGATCATCATAGTGATATTGATGTGGGTGTTACTATAATACATAGTATTTGCAAAAAAAAATGTGATACCTGCCAAAATTTTCCTGCCAAAGATATTCACAAACATGTCTTAATCAGATTAAAACTTATCAACAATGAATGTATTTTTTTTGATATTCCAAACAATAGAAGATATACTAGTTGGGATCAGTATTTAAAAAAAAATGATCTCCCAGAAGGATTTATGTTCTACCCTAAATCAGGGTTTTATGATGCATCAAAAAATTTGTATCAATCTATAACACCAGCTTCCACACACACCGAAAAAATCATAGAAACAGCCGATATAGCTTCACACATATCAAATTGGGTTGGAGGTATAGCGTTGGCCTGTGGTTTGATATTTCCTTTAGCGGCACCTATTATAATGATGTCTGGTGCACTAGTAACAGCTTCTTCGTCATATCTAGTTGTTAGAAATATTGATCGAATAATAGACATGTACAAATATCAAAATCATACAACTGGCACTGAAGTCTGGATACATTTTATGAATTTAGCGATTGCAGCAATTGGTACTATAGCAACACCATTCCATACATTGGCAATAGCTTCGGAGGCTAGCACAACTGTTAGATCCTCTTCAAAGGCTCTTACTATTTTTCGAACAACTGCTTCTATTACTCAATGTACATTGGAAGTCTTCCGTGCTACTCTGGAATTTATAGATAACGATTTTAAATTAACATATGAAAATGTGTTAAAACTACGTTTGGATTTGTTTATGATTATGGGAACATTAATGCCTTCAAGTATCGTTAAAGATATTTTAAAAGTAAGTATCAACATGGGTTCTATCAAAGTAATATACATTTTTAAAGAGAGCACAAAATTATGTGTATATTTTGTATGTTTGTATGAATGTTTATTTTAGCATTTTTCATACATGATAAAATTTCCAAAATATTTGGTCTTTTTTAAAAGTATTTACAGCCTCAGAGCTATAAGAAAAATGAATATTTATAGATTTTTTAAAATTATTGTAGATAAAAAATGTTGGGCTTTGTAAAAAAAAACATGAAAATTTAATACAAGGTTCCCCGTATGTTTGTTACTGGTGTAATTGTAAAAATAAGTTGAGCGTAAGTCTATTATAATTTTTATGACGGTCTGAAGTTCAATTTTTTTGACATCAACGAAATTAACTAATTATTTTAGAACGATTTTCTTTTTTTGTTCCAAGAAAAAAACCAATACTAGCTTCGATACTAAAAAATTTTTACAAAATGATTATTTTATAATTGTAAATAAATTACTACAACATTTTTTGTCATTCCTTTTTAAAGATTATAATACCAAAGAAAGTACCACTTATTACTAAAAGTATATCTTAATAATTATTGAATATATTTTTCTCGCATTTATTGAATTAATTTCAAAAGGTATTTTCACCAAAATTTGAAATGTTTATTTCGATAGTTTAGTTTTACTATAGTATCTTTTAGGTATCTAAAATGTGATTAAACTATAATTTTTGCTTTTTTACATATTGTGTATTATATTATTGATTCAATTTGTGTTCAACATTTCGTTGACTCGAATTATTTTTGACTTGCGTCTAATCGAATAATTTTTTTTAGTTGCTGGCCGTGAAAAGTGTTTGGGTACCCATTTACAAAACCCTGGAGCAAATTCCTTACTGTTTGGGTCAAACGGTCTGGAACTCCGTTTATTTTTTCAAAAGTCATTTCACTGTGTTCGTGGAACGAGTCACGATGTTTCTCGCCGAAAACCTCACACCGCAGAATCTGTTGTTCTCGTGGAAAACGATTCGGCGTGTGTTTGAGGGTTATCAAAAACAAATCGCCCAGTTGGACGTCGGCGACCTGTTGCGGCACGTGGTGGACGGCATCGCGGTGGACGAAAGCGTGAAGTACGTGTTGCGCGGCCAGCGCATGGTGAAGCTGCTGGACAGTCTGAGCGGGAAAAAACCGATCGGCCGAGCCCTGATAAAGTATTTTGTGGATCGCGTCCTGCAGAAGGCAATGAAATTGCAGGCGGATCGCGATGAATGTGTGGCCGATCTGGCCAAGCGTGGTGAGACTAGCACGTGGGAGGTGGACGTGGAGTTTTGCAAGTGTTACGGGATCGAGAGGTGCGCCATGGACCAGTACGCGCTTTGGGCCATCGGCGAGGTCGGCGTGAATGCGACCGATGTGATGGCCGAGTACGAGGAGTACGCATCCCGCCCGGAAAACATGTTTGACGACGAAATGGTTGTAAACGAGGGCGATGGCTCGGGTTGGTCGGCCAAAGGGTACACGTTTGTGGCACCGTGCGGTGTCCTGGACTTGGAATTTTGCTTGCGGTTGTCAGAAAAGATCAATCCGCAGCCGCATCATTACCTTGATCACAAACATGTGCAACCCGAGCCCGGTGTATCTCTGTTGTTTGGGGTTTCCGCTTATTCGGTCAATATCGTTTTCTTCGGCATCGACTTGATCAACGGCGTGCCGAAGATGAATATCTGCTTCTTCCAGCAAGATCGTGATTCAGACTCATCCATCTCCAACCACAGCGGTTTTAAGAAGTTGCAAGCTGCTTAAGCGTTGTTGTTTTCTTACTATCTATGAGTGCTCGCATCCGGTCAACAGCGTCATCATCGTTGCCCCACATTTTGTAGATCTGCTCTCCTCTCGTCCATTTAGTGGTTCCATCGTTTTACTGGCTCTACTTACTCGATTAAGACTGATTTAAGTCATCTAACACATAATTAAATGTCATAAAAACTATATAATGTTAACATTATTTTTAAGTGTAGAATATCATTTTTAATCTTGTTATTTTTTGATGATTTTTTTTTGCATATTATAATTAACCGGTGCTATAAATTTAAATGTTCATCAATATAATAAATTAACATGAGAAATGTCTTCAAATGTACCTATCCACATATTTTTTTAACACTTACAATATTTTATTATAACATATATATTTATTTGTCATAGATGTATATGCTATAACTATTTTTTATATTGAATGGAATTAAAATCGTTATTGTTAATATTTTAGTACCTATCTGTAGACCATTAAACAATTATCTTAAGAATATTTAGAAATAAATAATTAACATATTACATGTTCATGATTTATTGTATTATATTTTGAACAATATGAAATTATTTGTTGATAATAAATATATATATCATGTATTATTTTAAACAGTTGTATCCATTATCATGTACAACTGAAAATGTTATTAATAATTTATTGTTTATCAACTTATTTTGATTTAATTTTTTTGTTATTGTCAAATACACATATATTTTTTTACCATAAACATTAGAGTAAAATGTTGACTCCAATGTTCATACATATAGGTAACAGTGATATTATTGTTCTTAATATTTAAGTAATTTGTAAACAATATTATTTTTGATAATTATCAATTTTTAATTTTATAATACAATTATTATTTGACCTATTAGTTACTATATTAGTATTTAATTAAGTATTTAAATTAAAATAAACTGCAAAATATTTGATACTTACCTAATCTATTGGCAACATGCTTCTGTTAATAAGTTTATAAAAACTGTATTAAATAATTATAATATGAACTATGAATAAAATACATATCATTGTACCTGCATGTGTTGTTCTGTCTTACTAATGCAAAACATAACAATATTAGTAGTTCCAGCTTTGTGTTGTCAGCTTCAATATTTTAGTGATTTTACCTATTATTTTACCTAAAAATATAAACATTCTGTTTTCATACAATATTTATATGTCTAAGTGAGTTATGAGTATGTAAGTTATAGCAATTAAAAATCCACGTGATTTCCTTACAAATTAAAATATTGTAAACAACTAAAGTAAGACCTCAGATAATGTATAATGGTCTTAACTTTAAGTTTAAAAATTGATTTGATTCACTCTAGTATTAAATCTTTCTCACAAAATTGAAACTGCAGAACCCAAATTTTCAATGTTGTTCATTTATAATATAAGACAGAGACAATTATAAATGTAACTATGATGTATTTATGTTAATCAAAAATTATAGTAATAATAATAGATAATATATTATCTAAGTCCATGACAAAATTTAGCCATTTAGGTCAACATTTAAAATTCACATTAGTTTTCATAATCGCCTGAAAAACAAAAAAAAATTAAGGAAAAACTTGAATTTTTACTCAAAATCGGTTTTGACAGAATCGTTGTTCTTGTAACTCTTCAAAAAATAACAGTAAACCGTTAACCGATGAAATGTTCACTTAATGTTTATATTAGCATTTTCTATATATTATACAATATTTAAAATATTCCTACTCATGTTGAATTATTTGAAGGCACATGCAATTTCTGATTTTGCAATGGAAATCGTAATAACATTGAAGGCGCTTTTTATTTAGGTGTATCATAGCCACATAACTACGCGAGTTTCAAGAAAAAAAATTAAAAGAATCGTAAAAGACGTGATAAACGCAGCGTTGCGCTCATGCGTAAAAAACGAAAAATTGCTAACTTCCAAAGCCCATAACTTCGAAACTAAGTCCGACCGACAAATTCTGATTGCACCGTCGTTCTTAAATAGCTAATATAAGTAAGTTCAAAAAAAAAAAATTGAAAATTGTGAGGGGGGTGGTAAACTGCACTTTAGCCAATAGAATATAATATCATCTCGAGACGTTCCGCCATCCGTATACACAGTTCTCATCTAGTAGTGTATAAAGGGCAATGGGTAGCTGCCGCATGCTGTATTGCTGTTATCAATAGATAATCCACACCCGGTTTGAGTGATAAAAAGAAAAAGATATTAGTCGTGATATTAAACTGATAACTGATATTTACTAAACTAAAAAAAAATTCGTTTCCGTCTGTTGTTTGTTAATTGTTTTCGATACAATATACTCATTTTTCAGTAACAACAATGTTTTATATTATTGGAGTAGGTTTAGGGGACGTCAAAGACATCACAGTTCGAGGTCTCGAAATCGTCCGAAGTGCTAAACGAGTGTACTTAGAATCGTATACATCCATATTACCAGAGAACAAACTTCAACTGGTTGGTAAATATAAATAATTATTGAGTAGGTATTTAATTATTTAGATATCGTAATTGGTAGCTTTTTGGATGCTTATTAAAAAATATTTTTCGGTAAATCAATAAAATCTCAAGAAGGGACATCTCTCACTGAATATACATAATTAAAAACATAGTGTTCTTCTGTACAAACATTTTTAAATATTTGACCATTCACATTGAGCCACTCATATTCAATTACAATGATTTTGGATAGTTGTGTCATGAATTTAATAGCACATCATTGTAGTTTTGAATTGACTGTATCTTTTACTTATTCAAGAAAATTAGTTTATTAAATAGGTACTAGCACAAAATGCTTACTTGTATACTATGTGCGCTATTGAGAATTTATTGGACTGTTTTTACATTTTTTTATAATAAGAAATATTATTAAAAATTCATATACTTAGCTACCTAATTAAAATAAAATAAATACTATTTCTTGATTTCAAATAAATAAAAAATATAGATAGGTAGGTAAAATCAATTTTATTCTGAAAAAAATACATACAACGATCATGAGTTATGAGTTATAAAATAATTGCCACTTGTAAACTGTGCTTAATACTTAAAGGATTTTTGAATTCAATATTATGAATTTCTATGCAATAAATTCCTTACATTATGTTTATGACAGCTATTTATTATTACCCAAAGAACAACCAGATGGTTTTCACTGTACTCCAAAATAAATTTTGGTTAAAATGAACAATGAAAAGTATTAATTTATATACCTAGGTATATAATTAAATATAAAATTTCAGTCCAATAGGCATATATTTTTTACAATTATAAATTAAAATATACCTTAAGTGATAATTGTACATCAATAAAGTGATGTAAGTCATTTTTTTACATATTGATCCCTAATTATATTATATTTTGTAAATCTATACAAAAAACTCAATAATTTTTGATATTTTTTTTTTAGAAATTTTGGTCTGAACTTTATGGTGCCATACATATCATCTTATAAATAATATGGGTGCAAATTAGAAATATAGTCTATAATATAATGTAATACAATATAGGCAACTGTGATGTAATAATAAGTAATATTATGTACCTATATTATATAATAATACATGCTATAATATTGGTGTATTCATCATATATTTCTGTTTTTTTTTTAAATAAACTAATACATTGGTAGTCCAAATAATACTTCAATACCCAAAATTAAACAAAAAGTATTACAATATACATATTATATTATACACATTTATTTACCATAGTTAAAATAAAATTATACAATATGTTTTACATAGGAAAATTTTTATGAGAGGCAATTGATTGAAGCTGACCGAGAGCTAGTTGAACAAGGTGCAGATGAAATATTAGACAAAGCAGACGAGGACAATGTAGTTTTACTTGTGGTTGGTGATCCTTTTGGTGCAACTACACATGCTGATATATTGTTGAGGGCACGAGATTTAAATATTGACACTAAAGTGATTCATAATGCTTCTATTATGAACGCTATTGGATGTTGTGGACTTCAGGTGAGTTGGTATTTGAATAATATCTAATAACAAAATTGTATCACCCTTCTCATATTTGCATAACCTATAACAAGCATATTGTACTCAAACTATACACTTAATTACCGATTACTAGAATTGAAGACTAGAATTTAATAAAGAGGCACGTTAGTTTAACTCATACAATATCAATCAATAAAATCTGTACAAATTTGTAAACCTCACTTTATGATAAAATGTATATCGAACACAGATCTATTTTGAGAACACAAGCATAACAAATTTAGCTAAAGTTTGGGACTTGTTGCACTAAATATTATCAAAATCATTAAATATGCTTTAAAATTTGCTACTTATTTTCTATTATCTTATGTAAAAATCGCATAAAATATATTAAAATTGTAACAATACAAAACTCAAAAATAAGTAGGTGCATAATAAAAATAATTCATTCCTGGGCTTACTAATTTGTATATATTTTATTGATTGATACAGGCACTATTGCATATTAGGGCATCTGTAATGCCATTGAAATAAAACAACTTGTTTTAAAAAAATTGCCACAGCTACTGGGGTTAAGAAATAATAAATAATGTTATATTTGCAAACACGTACTGATTTTAATTTCATCGTACAAGCATAAAATGATTTCAAGCTATATGTACTTGGTTGGTTTTATATCTCATGTGCAGTATGTTTTTGTCATCAGGATTAATTCTTTACATACATATTTTTTTTTTAAATAATATTTTAACTATTTGTTTTAGCTATATCATTTTGGAGAAACAGTGTCTATACCTTTCTGGACAGATGTTTGGAAACCTTCAAGTTTCTTAAAAAAAATTAATCAAAACAAATCAAATGGATTACACACTTTATGTTTACTCGGTGAGTCAAAAGTAATTTTTTTGAAATCCAAAAATTAAGTTATAATAATGGGCTTTTTTTAGATATTCAAGTTAAAGAACCAACATGGGAAAGTATTACAAAAAAGAAAAAAGAATATCAGCCATCAAGATTTATGGAAGTGAAACAAGCCTGCTCGCAATTATTACAAATTATTGACAGCAATGAATTTGATGGAGAAAACTGTTAGTCATATCGATTAAATTATAAATACTTGTTATTTATATTTACGTTTATTTTTATAGATGTTACAAGAGAAAGTTTATGTGTGGGTGCAGCACGTATTGGATGGCCAGATCAAAAAATTGTAGCGGCGACATTAGCTGAAATGGCCAATGTGGATATGGGATCACCATTACATTCTATTGTTATTGTTGGTACACTACATCCACTGGAAGAACAGTTTCTTAAACAGTTTTATATTGAAAGCAAATAATTAAATATTTAATAAGGCTAATATGTAAATTAATTTTTTTATTAAATATTTTTACAATTTTAA